TTCAGGGCAAAACGAAAATCTAAGGTTCAAGACTTAGCGAGTGGTAGGTTGAGAGGCGATATGGCGGCCGCTCTAGTTGCACGCTAAAATAGGTTAGCGGAATTGATGGGAGAGAGGGATGGCGAGGAATTAGGGTAGAGCACGCTAGAGAAGGGGGGGGGAGGTTGGAAGTCGTAGTTGCAGACGGGTTCAGTGCGGTTGAAGTAGGGGAATTTGGTTGGAAATCGATGTTAGCAAGAACATTAGGGGGGGGGGGATGGATTTCGTAGTCGCAGAGGGTTTCAGTGCGGTTGAAATGGGGGAATTTGGTTGGCAAAAATGTCACGACTTGGCGACATTTCACCTTCCAACCCCATTCCAACACCTCAAAACCGCAATCAACCTTATTTCAACTAGGAAACCCAACCTCCCCCCACTCTCTCCTCTACCTAAGAGAGTGAACACACGCTATCCCTCTTTTGACATGCCCGAGCCCTCATTTCACGCTGTGCAACTCTAGAGCAGCAACTACGGCACCTCCTACACTCACCTCACGCCAGGCCTGTACCCTTTTCGCCCTGCCCAGCCGAGTGTTTATCGAGGAAATTCCCTATTAACTAAACCAAGTCGAGTCAAACTCGACTCGTGCCGAGTCAGGGCCTGACTCGGGCGAGTCAGGCCCGACTCGCCTCCCAAAACTCGAGTCTCGAGTCAGAATCCTGGGGGGTCCGACTCGGTCCGACTCGGGTCCGACTCGACCCGGAATTGGCTCGAATCGGATCCGACTCGGACGAGTCGAGGCTTGACTCGCCTCCTGCTCATGCCTACGCGCGGCCCGGCGGTCGAGCCGAAGTCGAGCCGGTTCGAGCTGCTCCACTTCGGCTCGACCAATTTTTCACGACGAGCCGAGCCGAGCCACACGGCTGGACGGGCTCGGCTCGGCTCGACTTGGGGCGAGCCGGCCAAAGAAAATTGGCGAGCCGAGCCAGACTCGGTGTTAAGCCCATGTCTATATCACGTTGTCTAGTGTGAGAAGGCCTGGTGAGAAATCTTGTAGTCATGAGAGCAACGATTTCTAGTCTCGTTGCTCCTATCGACTTTAGCTGCTCATTTCCCTCGCTGCTCTCTCTTGAAACCCCTTCGTGTGTGTGACCCACCTGGCAAATCTCCCCTCTCCCTTGGCCCCAGGGACCTTGGATACAACAGCCTGTCGGGCTCCATCCCTGCTGACATCAGCAAGCTCAGCAAGCTGCAGAAGCTGTGAGGCGGCGCTGGCATGGCACTCGGATGGCACTGTGATTATGCTCTTTGCACTCACATGCCTGCTGCATGCTATTCCTGTTTGGTTGTGCGTGTTGTTACAGTGCAGTGGTTGCCCTCTCTGCCTTGATCTCTGTCTTGCCCTTCTCTTGCCTCTCGCACTTGATATTTTTGTAATATTTGACAATTATAGTATTTTTAATAAAAATATTACTCAGTTATTTGAATACATAAAAACTAAATTTGAATACGAAATAAGATACCAAACAACACCACCACCCTACGCCATCACTCCTGCTCTGTGATTGCCATGCATGCATCCTTTCTGGTCTACCTGCTGCAGCACCTTGTTTGTGAACACTCTAGAGGGTTCGCTGCCCACGGAGATGTCACATCTGAAGGACCTCGTTGCCCTGTGAGTCTCATTGCTGCGCCTCACCCTCACTCGTGGCCCCCCGCCTGCAGCATCATATGGATTGCCTGTGCGCTGCATCCTGCTCCCTGTACTCCCGTCTGTCTCTGTGCATTCCAGAATTGGTTTTTCCTCGAATTGCCGTTTCCGGATCACTTCGTGTGTGTGACTGCATGTGCCTGCCTCCATGCAGGAGGCTGAGCACCAACTCCTTCTCAGGACCGCTTCCAAGCTTTTTCGCCTCGCTCACCAACCTTGCCACCGTGTGAGCGCCAGTTTTTGTACACCGTGCCGGCTTTCTCTCGCGCCATCATGCATGCACTTATCGTGACATTGGGATTGCACTTCACTTGCGAGCCTCATAGGAGCTCAGCCCTGTGTGCCGTTTTCAGAGCCTGTACTGGCCGGGCCGCTACCGGCCTTTGGGACATAGTTCATCGTAGAAGCTCTCACTTGTATCTTCCAGCTGCATCTCGTCCAAGGTACAAAAAAACGGCGTATTTTTCCTTTTTAGCCCGTATCATACTGTACCGAAATATACGACCGTTTCATACGGAAAAAAACGGTCTTGGGTGCATTTTCATGTGTGTGCAAAAAAACGGTCGTATTATACGGTCGTTTTTTTTTATGGGACGTGTACTAGGTTTATAATTGCCAGTCGAGGTCTTGTTATGTGGTTGGGTTTGCTCGCGCTGTTGGGAAATTGTTCGCTCAACATTTTAGGGTTGAGGAGGAGGGGGCTGAGGAGGAAGAGGAGGAGGAGGAGGAAGAGGAGGAGAAGTCATTTGGAGGAGGACGACGAGTAGACACTTGGAGGAGTAGGGGAAGGCTTAGGAGGATTAAGGGGGGGAGGCTCACAAGTAAGCCTAGGAGCATTAGGGGGGAGGTTTAGGAGGAGGAGGGGGAGGCTTAGGATGAGGATGGGGAGGTAGACACCTGTAGGAGGAGGAGGAGGGGGGGGGGCTTTGGAGGAGGGGGACGTAGACTTATCGAATGTAGAGGCGTTCCTATCTGTAGCCGCATTTAGATGATGTTTTGACGTTAGAAAGCCCATGGCAGTTGTCCCCACCTGTTTACTGGTCAGAGTAGGGTTTTTTTGGTTTTTTTTAGCACATTTTCGTCTATTAAAAATTCGGCGTATTTTTTCTCAAATCACCGAAAAAAACGGCCGTTTAATACGGCCCGTTTTTTTCGGTTGCCGTATTTTTGCACCTTGATCTCGTCCACCTTGCCACTGGCTGGCTTCATTACCTCCTTCACTGTCCTCCTGTCCCCTCGTTTTAAGCATCTCATTGCTATCCATCTGCCATCCCTGTGTGTCTCCCATTGCCGCGCACATTTCTAGGACTTTGGACTTCAACAGTTTCTCAGGCTCCTTGCCTGATGGCCTAGGGAAGCTGCAGAGACTGACACGGCTGTGAGCACCACTTGTTTGTGAGGACAGCTGGCTTATAGCGTGAATGCGTGCCTTGCCTGGCATAGCGTCCCTGTCATGTGTCGAGTGGCGGGATAGCTGCGCTAGGCATGAGCATTGGCCTGGCCCGGCCCGGCCCGTTTCTGGTCGGCCCGCCCGGGCCCGGGCCTGGCCAAGGTCGTGCCGACCTTGAAAACTCCCCGGCCCGGGTTTATGGGACAGGCCGGCCGGGCAAAAACCGCTCCGGGGGCGGACCGGGCCATGACGGGCCGCCAAAGGTCGGGCCCGAGCCCGTACAAAACCGGGCCGGGCCCGGGCTGGGCGGGGCCGGCGGGCGTTTTGCTCATCCCTACGCTGCGCTCATGAACTCCAGCCCTTCTCTTTGGCTTCCCACCCTGTTGCATCCTGCAATGGAGTGAAGCTTGTGCCAGTGGGTCAACAAGTGTCATGTGGAGAACAATTTCCAATGACGTGTCTTCCCTACGACAGCTGTTGCCCGCTTGTCAACCTTTCCCGTGTACCTTGCTCGAATGCGTTGATGCCATGGCTGTAGAGGTCAGCGGATTATTGAGTGCAATAATACGAGGGAGGGCACACATGGTACTGCAGGCACCTGGAGTACAACCGGCTTGAAGGGAGCATCGTGTCGTCCCTTGGAGCCCTCTCTCAGCTGCGCTACCTGTGAGCTCGCAATAGCGACACGGCATGGCAGATTGCATTGCTCATTTTCGGAAGCTCCCCCTTTGATTGTCAGGACCGGCTCTCAGTTGGACACTTTTAGCACATAGTCAGAGTGGCATCGCAGTGACTTGTGCAGCATGCTTCTTTGCTCCCTTGGGGCAGTGGGCACCATAGCTTTATGCCACTCGCAACAGAGAAGGGAACTGCCAGCACAGCACACCAGAGCTTGTATCCGCGTGTGTCTGTGCGTGCAGGGTGCTGGCTGTGAATGACTTCAGTGGCACCATTCCATCATCGCTCGCCAACCTCAAGAACCTAGAAGCTCTGTGAGTTTGAGAGCCCCTGTGAGCTTGATAGGCCTTGTTATTTGAGGCGGCCTTGTGAGCCACCTGCCTGTGACCTCAAGGCTTTACGGATCCTAGAGGTCCTGTGAGCCATCGTCCTTGCCCTCCCTCTGCCTTTTCCTGGCCAATGCATCATTAACCTCGACTGCTCTCCATTGAGCTGAATTCTGCCACTGTTTTGCATAAAATCCAGGGTCAAGTCGTCATTGAAATGTGTCAATGCATGGTCGAATCATCCCAACCACCCCTCCCCTCCAACCTCCCTCATGCCCACAGTGCGCTCCGTGACCTGCGCATCCACGGCCTGCTACCTCCGCCTCTCAGCTCCCTGCAGAAACTCTGGCACCTGTAGGCCATCCCTCTCTGTGCCTTATTTATCCATATCCTGAATGTATGTTTCCCAGCCCTGTGGGTCGGCACTCAACTCCACCTTGCATGTGTGGTGCAGGGACCTGTCTTCCATGTATCTGTCGGGTCCCTTGGCGCCCATTGTGGCTCTGATGACAAGACTCAAGAACCTGTAAGAGCGCTGACGCCAAGCTTGGCGAACTGCTGCTGTAGCATGAACTGCTATTGTACCATGTCGTTGGAACTGCTGTTGTTGTAATTTATGAACTTCCTAAGGGATCGCCATAACCGCCCTCGTCACTGCCCCCATCCGGGTCCTCAGATTGGTTCGGTCCAACCAATTCACGGGAGATGTGCCCATGCCAGCGTCCAAGGCCCTGAAATCTATCGACATTCAGAGCAACTACTTCACAGCCGCCCCCATCCGCCCTAAGAACTGCTCCGCTGTCAGCCTCAGGCTCTTTGACAACTGCCTGCCCTCCACCCTGTGTGGGGTCAACCACCGGCAGAGGAGCAACGCGAGTTGTGCAGCATTCTGTGGGGTGGGGCAAGGAGGGGCGCTGTGCAGTGGTCATGGGTACTGCTTCATGAACGACAGCAGCAGCACGGGCGAGTGTGTGTGCGAGGCACACTACTCCACCCGCAATGACCCCCACACGTGCACATACACGAGTAAGCAGAGCACAATCGCACTTGGATCAGTTGCTCCTCGGTTGACCCATGCATGCATGCGTAGTCTCATCAATGCAGCTCGATGCCCTCACTCGTCGTTCTCTTTCACTAATCCATGTATCTCCATCGTCTCTTACCCCCCTCCAGTTGACCCCGTGACTGCCTCCTCTGCCACCTCGCCCATGGCTGTGAGTGGCTCTGCGCTGCGCTCTGCTGATGGAGGCTTGCTGCTGACCCCCAGGGCCAATGGCACCTGGGGCACGGCCTTCACAGCCGCGCCTCTGCCCCTCTTCTCCTACTTCAACACCAAGGCCACATGTGGTTACCAGTTCGCCTTCAACGCCTCCTTTGCCTTCTCCCTCGACCCCGACTCAGAGGCCGGCGGGGATGGGCTCGTGTTTGTCGTCGCTGCCGCGCTGCCAGACAGGCTGGGAGGGGTGGGGCGGCGGAGTGTGGGGGTGGAGTTTGACTCGGTGCTGAGTGTGAAGCACAGCGACCCCAACGACAACCACGTGGGCGTCAATGTGGGCGGCTCACCTGTGTCCCTCGCCTCTGCCACGGCCCCTCTCATCCTCAACGACGCCCAAACCAAGCACGCCTGGATCCACTACGACCCCACCAGCGGCGGCACTCTCCGAGTCTTCCTCTCCTCTGACCCCGTGCAGCCCCTCACCCCCACCCTCCGCGCTCGAGTCTCCCTCTGCTCCATCCTGCTTCCCAAGGCGTCAAGTATGGCATTCTATGTGGGCTTCACAGCTTCGTCCACGGCCGGTGCACAAGCACACTCCATCCTCAACTGGACGTTCACCGCAGGTACGTGCCTCTCGAGGATGGGTATCTTTATAGTTTGCGTAAGGTTTTACCTGTGCGGCTCGGTCCGCGCAATTGGCTGTCGGCTCGTGGGCCGGATCAGCCCGTTGTTGTCGTTGACGACGGAGCGGACGGGGCATGGGTCTGAGCCTGGTCCTCTGCCCATGTCTAGGTTTCGGTTATTCAACATGTCATGCATAAACTTGCCTGACGCTGCATTTTTGTACCCGCATGCACGTAAGAAATATGGTTTATTAATATGACAGTTTTACTGCACCTTACCTGTTCTTAGCAAGTTCCACATTTGCTAATTATCTATCAAACATACATGCGCTTTAAAATTTGTCATACGCATGGTACTATACGTCCAATATTTACTTTCGACCCAACGACAACAATGGAAAGCCATGATGTAGCTTCAACATGTATGATAGTACTAATCATCCAGCGTGTTCGTCTCACCGTGGCATGGCAATACGCGTCAGTGCATGCCCTGAGATAACGCCCTTTCGTTATAGCAAGGAGACGATTGCGCAACACAGCGCGACGGGTATTTTGTCAATCTCCTCATCCCAGTGTCCCGCGAGGCGGCACGATACACGGCCACACATAAACTTGTAGATGTAGAGCACGTGGATGCGCTTGAGTTGAGCGTAACACATGGCTGATCTCGCGCATATCCTATTCGACAAGTTTTTGTACTGTTTTGTTCGCCGCTATGTTATGCCGCAAAATTTTATCGCGCTATTCGTTCAATTGAGTATCAGTACTGTTGCGTTCTTGACCTGGTGAGTTGAGTAATAGTAATGCTCGTTTCTTTGTTCATGAAATCAGTTGGTTTGATTTTAGCACCTCGGATTGATGTTTTTTGTTTGCACGAACTAAACTGAGCATAACACATGGCTGATCTTGTGCATAAATAATTCACAGGTTATTGTTTCGTTCGTTGCCCTTCTATTTCGCCAAGTGCTTTCAGCGCGCAAATCTTCGCCTGGCTCATAAACCTTCTGTTCGCCTGTTATTTGTCCTCTTGGGCCCTGCGCGCTTAGGACAGACACTCACTTCGTGTTTTCTTTGTATTAGACATCTGCTACAAGCACGTGAGCCTATGTCTAGTATTCTATCACCCTAGCAGCCTTGGTGCCATCCCGCTGCACAACTGCCGCTGAATGCTTCATGCTTAGAGCGTTCATCATTTCACACCCTTTTTATGATTGTCTTTGCTCCCACTTCTGTGCCTCTCGCTGCTTGTTTTGTTGGCTGCTGCGTGTTTAGATGTTCCACTCAACTTACGTTTCGACCCGTCAAGTAAGCATTCGAGGTTGCCAAAGACCTTGTATTCTTTCGTATGAATTCCTAGCTGAGTCATGATTGACATTCTCACCAACAGATCTGGCGCTGGGTTTTGTGTCTAGACGTCTGGTTTCTTGCGCACACTTGTTTTCCTGCCACTCTCACCACCAGACCTGGCGCTGGGGTTTGTGTTGGACGAGGACTCCTTCTCATCTCAGGGCTTCAACTCCGCCTTCCACTATGCCAGTGCGGGGTTCGAGCCAGCGCAAGACGGCAGCCCCTCGTGGCTTGTCAAGTCCTTCGCCTCGTGGATGTTGCCCGAAACCATCTGGCCTGTCAAGAACCAAAACGGTTGCGGTGAGTTGCATGGGCATGATAGGGCAATTCTTGTCACGCCGTCAAAGTATTTGGGATGTGTAAAGCAGGATTGGTTGCCTCGTCGCAATGGCTGTGGTGGCACACTGATTGAGCCAATCACAGAAACATGTTGGACCCTACATTGAGCACAGGCTTGAGCATATACCCGACCCGACTTTGCCGATTCGAGGTCGGGTTCGGGTCTGGTCAGGTCGGGTCTGCATAAGGGCAGGGGCAGGAAATAAGCGGACCCGAGGGTTCGGTTTATGTCGGGTCGAGTCGGGTTGGGTGGTAATCCGACCCGAGGGTTGGGTCGACCCTCCGCAAATGTCAACCCGACCGGGGAAGAAGTCGGGTTCGGGTCGGGTATACCCGACCTGGCCTGACCCGTTGTTCAAGGCTTATTGAGCAGTCATAACTTGTACCAATCAGCACAGAGCTTTATATCCGCACATCGCACTGTATCAGCTCACTCTGACCAGGAGAGAGTGCTCAACTCTAACTCATTCTGCCCCTCTCCTGCTGTGCAGGTGACTGCTGGGCGTACGCAGTGGTGGCAGCGGTGGAGGCAGCCTACAGCATTGCCAGCAACTGGTCGCAGCCCCCCGTGCTGTCGGTGGACCATCTGCGCCTCGCCCTCTCCTCCAACTGCGATGGTGGCTCCCCCACCAAGGCGCTGCAGTTCCTCCTCAACGCCACCAACCAGGGCAGGGGGTTGCTGGACAGCACGGCGTACTCTCAAGGGCTGGTGCTCAAGGGCAGGTCGCTGGTTAGTGCGCTGCTGTTGCTAGTGTGCTGCTGTTGGTGCACAGCTGGTGTGCTGCTGGTGGCGTGCTGCTGTTGCTGTGCTGGTGGTGGTGTTCTGTTGTTGCTGTGCTGCTGTTGGTGCACTGCTGGTGGTAATGTGCTATGGCAACTCTTTTTTTCCCACCTCTCTCTTACTTGCCTGCAGGCCAGCACCAAGTACTATGGCATCCGGGGCATCGAGCGCACGGCCTTCTACGGGTGGTTTGGGCTCATGCTGGCAGTGCAGCGCCAGCCAGTCATTGTGCACATTGAGGCCTCCGCACCCTCCTTCCAAGACTATGATGGGGTGAGCCACTACCTTGCATGCTGTGAAAGCCATGCCATACTGAGCTGCGCAATCTCCGCTCCACCATGTGTGTTCGTTGCTGTGTGAGTGGGGGAGCAAAGAAAAAAATGATAACTGTGCGATCTCCGGTCACCATCTGTGCTGGTTGCTCTGTGTGCGTGGGCCCAGAGAGGCAAGTACGCGGACGAGGCATGTTTCAGCGGGCATCTGAACCACGTGGTGCTGGTGGTGGGCTTCCTCTCCGCGAACTTTGACCCTTCCAACTCCGCCATGCCGCCGCCCTTCTGGATCATCCGCAACTCATGGGGCACACAGTGGGGCGACCAGGGCCACATGCGAATGGACATTCGCAGTGGAGATGGCATCTGCGGCATCAACACTCTCCCGGGGCTCTTCCCCGTTGTCAGAAGTGAGGCCCATGACTCGCCCTGTGCCGGGGGCAATTTTCAAATGCTGGCTCGTCCATACACCATGAGCCATGTGCCATGGCCCACACACCATGCCCCATATTTATTCAACACTCCGCATTCCCCATGGTCCATGCACAGAGCCCCATATGGCATGCCCCATAGGCCACTCGTCGTCATGCAGCATGTCCCATGCCCGTAACCCATACTCCTCCGAGTCGGATGTGTGTGTGTGCTTGGTCCTCTCCACAACCGCCCCATGCTCCGTGTACCTGTTGAGCAGCCAGTGCCGATCCGTGTGGGTCACGCTCCTTCAAATTCAATATCCTGGGCGCCACCTTCAACCCGTGCGGCCAGTTCAACTGCAGCAAGAAAGGCACCAGCAACCGCTGCAAGTGCTCTGATGCCCGCTTTGTGCAAGTCAAGAACACCGATGGATCGTACACCTGTGCTTATGGTAATGTGCATCCTTGTGTTTCTATGCACGTGTGCTAATGGTCATGTGCAGTGCATCAATGTTTGTTGTAGTGTACACTACTGTTCACTGATTTCATCCCTTAAAGCCCGAGTTCAGAATGGTTCGCTATCAAGTTCTGGATTCGTGAACCTGATTTCGTCAAATGAAGGGTAACGAGGTACAAACCGGAAAAACGTCGCAACTTACAGGAAACGGGGGGCAGCTTGCGACTGCCGCTGAATAAGACGAGCACCCAGTCACTGTTTATCGCAGTATTCTTGAGTTTGCCTCCGACCATTTTGAACGCATTTTTGTGGGGGTCTCGCGTCACTGTTTGTTCCCCCCCAACCCCCCGCCCACCCCGCACTGTTCACGCACTGTTGAACTCGGTTCTTGCCAAATAAATTCCGTGATGCGATCACGTTTCCGCGATTTCGCCAGAATCTTTGTTCGTCAGGGGAACTTTGCCAAAATTACTTTCGCCCAGTTTTTTTGGCACTGTTTTCATGGTCAGCAATCATGGTTTTCTACCATTCTAGACTCGGGCTTTAAATGGTGACACTCCTCTAATTTCCATCGTATTACATTGCATTTCATATACAATCTCCTGCTTGCACTTGGCACTCCAGTTTAGCCACGTATTGTCCAAGTTGTCCCACGAAACGCTTTCTCACAACTCTTTATTTCCTGATAAGTAAATGAATACCATTTAGTTTTTTTTTTCTTCTCATTTTGCACATTTTTCTGCATCGTGTTTCACACAGCTACACACTGTGCTTTTTCCTCGTCTTGGTCCTCTTGATTTCAAGCCAAGAGGTCCAGCTGTGGCTTTAAACAATTGTGCTCATGGTAGTACAGGAGAGCTTTCGCTTTGTACAATTTGCCAAGTGAATCGAAATCATCTTCGGCTTGAAACTCCTTCGTCTCTACCGACACATCCTCTCTTTGCCCCGATTGTCTTCAAGCAGCAATTGTCGAAATTGTCTCCGTCCCTTTGCACATGCCCACGCCCATTGTCAATCTCCTCAATGTTGGATCCTCTATGCTTTCTTACACACCTGACTGACCCCGTGCTCATGCCACTGGCCTTAACCATTGCCGTGTGTTCCCCGTGCCCATCCGTACCTCCGTGCCCCCAGTGGATGTGTGTGGGTCCAGCAGTCGCAACCCGTGTGTGGTGGGCACGTGTGTGAACGATGGCAGGGGCAGCTACTCCTGTGTGTGTCCCCCAGGGTTCTTCCAGGGCACCACCCTCGCCAGCACCGCCTCCTGTGCTCCGGGTAACACCAGTCTTCTGGTAGCAACTCTCTCCTATGATCCAAATGCCTACTTTCACCTCTGGTACACACTGTGTGACTCCTGATCCTTTGTGCTGCTTGCTGCTTCTTTAACTAAATTAAGCGCCATTGCACTTCACACACACTCTTCTTGCCTATCCACAATGGATATTTGCTCACTTTTAATTTCGACCCATGTTCCGCTCCGCGCCCAACATTCTGCTGATCTTGAAGTGCTGAGGCTTAAACTTGAAGCGCCCATTGAATTGCCGAGTTCCAGAAAGGCCCAGTTGTGGAAAGGGCTGGTTGTGGTGCTGATGTGTGTTGTGGTGCTGATGCGTCTCTTTGTGAGTGGTGGTGCAGGTGATGCTAGGGGGGTGTACACCGTACAGCAGAGCAATGTGTGGTGCTCCGATGTGCATCCCATTTTCGCACTCTCACTGGACCAGTTTAAGCAGCAGAACAAGGTACCCACGGCCTAATCTGGGTGCTTGGGATTTGAAGCACTGTATGTGTTCTGAGGATTGCCCATGGTCTTTCTTGCCATAATTGTATTCATCCAGTGTCTTAAGCTTTTGGAGAGCAAGCTATGCTCAGCAACCAAGAGACTGTGCATTGCACGCACTCATCCCTTTTTTTCCTTTTTTTTTGGGGCTTTTAAGGAGATCCCAGGAGGAAACCAGGCCCCCTTTCCCACGCCGATCCACCTGCGAGTGTGTACGCCGTACACACTTGTCCTTTGTGCTGCTTGCTGTTGTAAGTGCCCTGGGCTTGTGGTGGTATTGTTTCTCCCTCCGTCTGCATGTGCCACAGGGCGTCTCATGCTCCACGCCTCTGCGCCTCAACTCAAGTCTGCTAGTCAACTCTACTGTCGACCCGTGCTCTGTCTTTTACACCACCGTTCTGGTGAGGGGCTCATAGTTTTGAGCTGCTTCAATGTGCAAACCAATTCAACGAGCCTCCAGCCAACAGTCTTTTATCACCCTAGAGCAAAAGCTACAGCATATATTCTTGCCTGTGGGCGGTCGTGCAAGTAACCCCGTCCCCAAGGATACTCCTTCTGTTCATCCTCCATCTAAAGGTGCAAGAACCCTCCTCTCCAACCAATCCCTCCCCTTCGCTCTCAACCATTTCCCCCCGCTCCCTTGCCTCCGTTTCCCTTTCCCTCCAGGGCGACACGTGTGCGGGGGTGGGGCGGCAGGTGGAGCTGTGTGGGGAGGCGGCCTCGGATGCGGCGTGTGAGGCGGCATTTCAGGCGCTCAACCCCGCTGTGGACTGCTGGTCGCTGAAGCCCTCCCAGGCGGTGTGCGTGGAGAGAGACCCCTCCAAGGCCAACTTGACTGTGGTGTGCGACCAGTACTACCGCGTGCGCCTAAACGACACGTGCCGCAGCATCGCACAGCTGGCGGAGCCCCCTCTCAGCCTGGTGGACTTCTACCGCCTCAACCCCGGCGTCAACTGCAACCAGCTCATCCCCGTGAAGAACTACACTCGCCCCCCCACCACCTTCGGTGCTGAGGTGCGTCAGTTTGGTGCATTAACGTGCTGACACAATGCCATGCTGCACTAGCTGCTTCAAATGCAATGCCTGTTGGTGGGTGCCACCCTCCTGACTGCCTAGCTGTCTACATTCACCTCCACTTGCCTGCAGGTATGCATTGGCAGCGCCACCAACTTCTCAGCTGGCATCTGTTCAAGGACCAGCACCTACACCATCTCGCCAGGGGATGATTGCAAGTACATCCACCTCAAGTACTTCTACAGCATTAAGGGTTGTTATAGGAGAATGAATGGGTATGAGTGTGTGGACAAGTTGAAACCTGGAGCCAAAATATGCACACCTAATCCGAAAAAGGCTCGAACAGGAACATGCAGCATTTGATGTAGTCCACATACCATCACTCCCAAATATACTGTAGTCCCCCGTATACCTTGTGGTGGATATTAGCATAGGCTGGTGGAAACTGCCCAGAGGCTGAGAGACCAGCGGCGGTAGTGGAGGCATGTACTCTAGTAGTTCCGGTAACTGATCCGGCAGATGGTGCTGGTGATGAACCAGTCATAGTTGACGGTAGTTTTAATTCCAGATAGCTCTCATACCATGAAATAATTTGCTCAATGTTGTAGAAGACTAAGTATAAAACTGTAAACTTGAACACTTGGATATCCTCAAGTGTTGGTCCAGGATATTTGCTGTAGTTGTACTGTACTGCGACCGCGAATCCAAGTATATGTAAACCAGTTTCTGTAAAACGCGGACGTTCTCCGTTTGCACCTGCGAATTTTTCTTCTGACCCTTCTCCCCCCCCAATTTCGTCAGGTGTAACACGGACTGCTTCGTTGGAGACGGCTGGCATCGGCTGCTGTTGACGATCGCATTCGAAACTGAGATGGACTTCGCGAACGTCATCCGGGTCAGCATCAGTGAGGGGAATAAATTCCGGGATGCCAGACGACGTGACAGGTTCGGGAATGTCTGTTGCGGCAGCTTCAGGGACTTCAGAAACTGCCTCGTTTTGTACATCAGCTTTGGCTTCGTCGGTTGCAAATGCACGCGAGCCTTCGAACAGCCTGGCGGGGTTGGCAGGTGTTGCCTGGTGGGCACGAAAAACTGGCAAGGTGAGTCGCTCATAGAAGAGACAATAACGTGAAGGGACGATTTGGTTTGAACGAAGATCCAAAAACTTCCATGCGTGATACTGTTTTTCGATGCCAAGGTGTACCCCCCATTTTGCCCGTTCTGAAAATTTGCTGAATGCTGCAGTTGGAGGACGAAATTGCACGACACACCCAAAAACTCGTAAGAGTTTTGTACTTCCCACTATTCGTGTCCACTGCAGATGAGGTGAAGAAAACTCCGGCAGTGACGTGGAAGATAGCAGGCTGTGTAACAGTACAGCGTGGTCCATCGCATATGGCCAAAAACGAGGAGGAAGAGCTGCCTGTGTCAGCAGAGCACTCATCTTCTCCTGCAGAGTTTGATTCATCCATTCTGCTACCCCCATCTATTGGTATGCATGTGGTCGAGACTGCTTCCGTTTGATGCCGAGGGTTTGGAGGTAGTCTGTGAAAGCGTTGCTCGTGTACTCTCCTACGCCATCACTCTGGATTTTTTGCAGTTTCACTCCAGACTCTCTCTTTCAGCGACAACGAGCCATGCGACGAAGGTCGGATGGGCGAGATATCGAGCAAGAAGGTTGACTGTCCAAACGTAGCGAATAGATGCTTCAATAAAGGTAATCACATATTGCTCCTCTGTAGGTCCTGCTTCAGGTAAGTTGAGAATATCACTGTAAACTTTCTGCATCAGTCGATAACGATTTGAGCCAGGAAAATGACACGGAAACGGGTCATGGGTAAGATTGGCGTTCGGACACGTGGTGCAAACCGTTGGGCGAGACTATGGTTTCATCTCCGTTCCGTCAGGTAAAAGAAGACTATTATTATCAAGAACTGCTGCTCGTATTGAATGATTTAGAATCCCTTGCGATGGATGTCCTAATCGTTGATGCCAAATGTCCTCTGTGGCTTTGTGTCTTGATGATCGCAAATAGAAATCGGCGTTAGTATAAAACGAAGAAATGATGAAAGGAGAAAGAGCTGGAGACATGTCAATCTCCCCTTCAATGAAACATGTAAGTGGTAACTGAACATTTGATGGTTCTGCTGCAGTTGCAATTGCAACATTTGATACTGCTTCTGTTTTATGTGTTGGCAAATGGTCCTGCGACAGCTACTGTGCGACTCGGCTGCTCGGCGACTTCTGCTTTCGCGGCTTCCTTCACGACTTCGGGTTCGTCAGCTGCAAGTCCACTGATTTCGCCCCAAAGTGGAGCTCGAGTTCCTTGGAAGGCGGCACGGGTGTTATAGAAGGTTCGCCAAGCGTTGGCGCCTTCATCGGCGGTATTGAACTCCCAGGTATCAAGAGCGGTAAGAACGGCAGCTGCAGTTCGAGAAGTCGTTGGTACAGTAGTTGCACAAAAATCAATATCAACTTGTTGATAATCTGTATCGTCGGGATGATCCCAGGGACCAAGAGCAAGGACGCGTTCAGAATTGCCAGAGGTGCCTTGTGCCGTGAACTGAAGAACGGATACACCATGTTGAGTAGCGGCACGACCGAGGTAAGTATTGGTCAAACTGTGCCATAACTCCTGATCCATTGTATCACAATTGCCTTGTGTGCGAATCTTGTGTGCCATGAGTTGAGCTGTGGAGAGAAGATTGAAACCAAGGCCAGCGACGACAAGAACGTTGGTAACGTGTAAGGAATATCCCGTGTCCACGGATTCGAGCATTACACCCCCAATAGATCTGGCCATAATTGTTTGTCCGTTTGCGACTGTGACAGGTATCGGACGACGAAGTGGACGCTGATTGGTGATGAAGCTTGTTTCAGCGCAGCACATATGCCAACCGCAACAGCTGTCGAGATACCAAGTATTGGGTCCTGAAATGACTCGAGCAAGGTTAGCGTAAACTTGCGGTAAGGGAATGCCTTCGGCATTGGTGGTTTCTTCAAGTTGTGTCTTGAAATCAGTTTCTGAAACATCAACTGTTGTAACACATCCAAAAACCCCTTTTCCTGATGTTGCAGATGGAAAAACAGGAGGACGATACTGTAACGGAGGTGGATTCTGCGGTGGTTTCTGCATCTGCTGCGTCTGGGACGTCGACTGATGCGTTGGCTGATGTGACTTTGGTAACTGCTGGGAACGATGATATGGCTGTAAAGTACTGCGTCGGTTTTGATGTCGACTGCGACAAATTTGGTAAGTATGTCCTGGTTTCTTGCAGAAATGACAGAAGGGATATTTCGGGGGAAGTCGTTGCTGCGGTTCTGGATTTGAGTAAAAACTTAAATATATCCCCTTCTTTTGATTGCGTTGTGACCGCAGGTCAAGATCTTGCTGTTCTGCTTGAAGATACGAAGAAATCTCGGCTTCAGAGAGATTCGGGTTCATGCGCAGGAAGGCGTGCGCCTGTCGCCACTCGGGACCAAGTCCAGCAAGGACCGTGAGATACATCTCACGAGGGAAGTATCCACCACTCTTCTTCAATTGATCTCGTAGTGTGCGAACACGATTGACGTAATCGATGACATTCTCGTTTGTCATCATCTGCACATTTGTCAGCTGCAAAAGAATCTTACTCACTGTGATTGTATCCTTTGCCATGTACACCCCCTTTAAGTGGTTCCATGCAGTTTCAGCTGGCGTAAAGCTTGAATGGAAGGATCGAATGCCGAGCTGCTCCTTTGCCGATAAATTTCGAACAAGAACCGTATATGCCCCGAGAGAGGCGTGCAATAAACTCTGCTGCTCTAGTTGTGTTCCCATAACAGGATACGTGAATTCGCCGGTGAAGAACGGCCATAGCCCGGCAGACTGCACCAGAAGTTCAAACTCGAAGCTCTAGGAGTATAAATCAACTCCGTTAAAAGGTATGGTGGTCTTGATCTGCGTGCTGTTAAGTAAATTCCGTGGTTGAAAAATAATACCCAGTTGTTGAGGTTGCTGCTGTTGCTGTTGTTGCTGAAATAGCTGTGGATGTTGCTATTGTTGTTGCTGTTGCTGTTGTTGCTGATGTTGCTATTGCTGTTGCTGTTGTTGTTGTTGTTGTTGTTGTTGTTGTTGTTGTTGTTGTTGTTGTTGTTGTTGTTGTTGTTGCTGCTGTTGCTGTTGTTGTTGTCGTTTTCGTTGTTGTTTTTGTTGTCGTTGTCGTTGTCGTTGTCGTTGTCGTCGTCGTCGTCGTCGCCGCCGCCGTCGCCGCCGCCGCCGCCGCCGTCGTCGTCGTCGTCGTCGTCGTCGTCGTGAAAGTGCCACGAAACCAGGCCCTATTTGCCCACAAGGGTGCGGAGCGGCTGCTAACGAGGCAAGGAAATCTGATTTTCCCATCCCCCGCGATTTCGATTTCCCCCTCCCCCACAATAGCGTAACCCTTGGCTCAACGGTTTTAATTCCCCCTTCCCCCACAATTCTGATTTCCCCTTCCCCCAAACTTTTGTTTCCCCCTTCTCCCACAAATTCTATTCCCCCATCCCCCTCAAGTCAAATCCTCATTCCCTGCAATTCGATTACCACAATTCGGTTCCCCATTTCGATTTGGACGATCAAGTTCCCCTCGACATTGCTGGGGTTTCGATTCCGCGTAGCGACTTGTGTTGACGTTTCTGCCCACTTTTGTAGAGCTAATGGCTGTTGACGCGTAATTTCATCCTGCTCGTTTTTTTGCACCTGAATGGACCTTGTAATAAAGGATCACATACAATTTTAATATGATTAAACAAGGGGGGTGTTATGTAAAATTCAATGTCAGAAAAACGGGTGCTTTAAAAAATGCACCGTATCAAAAGCTCCCCCCCGGTACTAACCACCCGTGGAGCAACTATTTCGGCGGGTGTTATATACGGGGGATTACGGTACAGACCCCGTCTCATCTCGCACGATGTGATGTTTATTGTAGAATGGCATGTTTGTCCATTATTTAGTTCATCCCCGGTTCTTTGCATCATCGGCCCAGAGCAACCTTCGAAAGTGGTATTTGACATGAACTATATCACCTTTGCGAGTGTACAATAGATACAGGTTTGGGTTTTGGGACCAAGCTTTTTGGTTTGAAGCCAATGGCCATGGGGAAATGAGCATCACATAGCCTGTGCACTCTCAGACGCATAGAGAGTGGTCGGAAGGCGTC